AAAGGAGAAACAAGTTCAGGCAACAAAGAGTCATCTACCTTTTCAGCAAAAATGCAAAACGTTGTCGGGTGCAGAAGCCTTGTTTCGTTACAACACTGAAAGCTCATATCGAATCTACCAAAGTGTGAGGTGTGACACCTAGTTCGCACATCGACTCAAGTGATTTAGTAAGCAGCAGTGTCATAGCAGGCCTGTGAACTATCCTCAAAATGCTCCACTCAGTGGCCTAATTGATGAGGCTAAGAAAGGATCAAATGCTTATCTTTAACAAGTATTGTCTCACTAAATGAGGACTTTCTCGGATCCGTGTTCTGGAGAGCGACTGTTCCCAATAGCAATGGCTTTCTCAATCTCAAGGATCCATGCCACCCACCAACGTAGCGGTTAATTCGAGTTCATTTCAAAAAGTAACGAATACGCCGAAAGATAGTGCCCATCGGAATCTGCTTACATGCTGGAATCAAACTGATCGATGCTTCACAGAGTCATCCACATGTGCGACGTTTCAAGTTGGGTGCACAGTAGGCGTCAAAAGCATTCTTCAGTAAACACTTGAGACGATCCCAGTCAACGTTCGGCTCACCAATCTCATCAATGACAATTGGTGGGCTAGATCGGAATGAAATTGTTGAACTGCATCATCATCATCATCAGCAGCAGCAGCAGCAGCATCACCATCATCATCAATTCACATTAGCGGAGGGTGGGAAACACACCTCAGCTAATGTGCCGCAGCACAAAAAGACAATGAAAAGTTACACAACAAAGAATGCAAAAAACAAGTGATATGAGGTTGAAAATTATACTATGCATTTCGTGTGACATGGAAATTGGAGGGAAAACATAGAGGTAAGGAGGTGGACAACGAAACTCATAACAAAGACGCCATTTGGACCGGTTTTTCGTCATATCAGCAAGTGTCCAACCAAACGTACTCGTCATTTCGGACTCTAGTCAGGCAGTCGCGACGCACCAACCGACGACAACTTCGAAGTGAGGGTTTCCATTTCTCTCAACCAAGTCATCGCTTGCCCTTCCCTCCTCCTTTTTCAACCACAACCCCGGCGCGCAGAAAACGCAAGATGCAATAGTCGGTGTGCTGGCATGCACAACACGTGGCCTAGCCATCAGAGCCTGATGCGTGAGCAGTTCACTCGCCATTCTTGCACCAAATACACGACGCCGAACACACTCATTGCTCACGCGGTGCTCCCACCAGACATGAGCTATGCTGCGAAGACAGTGGTGGTCGAATGTGACTAGCCTCTTTATGTCTATCAATCTGAAAGGCCAAGTTTCACAACTGTACAGAAAGGCTGAACGGAAGGCTGTATTGTAAACTCTGCCTTTCACGGCTAGAGTGATGTCGCGTCGGCATCACAGGTGGCGGCGATTGGCAAAAGCACCTTGAGCTTTTGCTATACGGTTCGCGACGTCATCTTCGATCACACGAGCGCCAATATAGCTGCCTAGTTACCAGAATTCCTGAACTTTTAGCTGATCATCACCAAAGATCAGTGCAGGGGCGGGTCCCTACCAATCTTGTAGACGGACTTCGCATTTCCATGGTGCAAAGCAGAGCGCAAAACAACTGGCAGCCAGGACTAATCGGTGCAGTGCTGCTTGGCACGTTTAGAAGTGGTCACAGATGGGGGCAATGGCATCCGAATAATTCAAGTCAAGAAGTCGCTCACCAGTAAGTAGCTCCACACATTGTAGGTCATGTACAGCAAAAGCTACTTCCATGACATCGTCAATGGCGAAGTTAAAGAGGAAAGGTGGCAGCGCGCAACCTGTTTCCCACCGCTCGAGATAATGAAGAGTGCCTACAGTTAGTCATAAACCATCACAATGCCGAATATGTGCGAACAGCGCTCTAATAATGTTTACGCAGTTATCGGGTACACTTTTCCTCAACAGACAGTCCCAAAGTGCACATCGATCCACCGAATCGAAGGCGCCTTTGATGTCGAGAAACAAAATGACGGTTGGTCACCAATAAACATGGCGGTATTCCGACAATTGACGCGAAGTGAAAGTGTGATCGATGCAGCTCCGACCTCGACGAAACCCTGCTTGCCCTCCGCGGACCTGGCTTTCACGAGTGCCAGTCAGTCTGTGGAGAACGACAGACTTGAGCTATTTAGAGGCAATTGAGGTCAGACTGATCTCGCGATGATTGCCGCATTCCGAACGAAAGATTCCCTTGAAAATTCGAACTATGATGGAGCGGCTCCAGTCTGTCGGGACAGTTTCCTGCTCCCACAGTTTCACTAGTAACTCGTGTAAATCATCTACAAGAGCAGGTCACACGAATTTGAAGAGGGCTAGGGGAAATCTATTTGCCCCTACGGTCTTATGCAATTTCAACAGTCATCTCATATTCGACTTCTGCGTGAAGAGCGGTACCCAAGAGGAGGCAGGGGAAGGGCACTCAGTGTCCGAAAGAGAAAGCGAGAACTCAGATTGGTTAAACGGCTTTGCAAAGTGTTCGGCCGAACACTCCAATTGTTTTCACAGGCTGTGGATCGAATGTCCACTCTCATCGCGTATGGTCTCACTAACACCGGGTCTCCTGCCACCTGTTTCCCGTATCAGACGGAATGATTATCAACGGCAGCGGCTGTCTCCATCTCCAATTGCACGATGAGAGCGTCAGGTTTCGCGGTCTCTATTCAGGCTAGCATGCGGTTTTGTCTTATGATTTTCGCAAGGCACATCGTATTCGCTTCCAGTCGGAATACATCGGCGAGCATCCATCAGTTCCAGAGACTGTGTAGAGACCCAATGTCCGGTTTGGCAATTTGCTTTGCCACATGAAGACATGCCTGCTGATAGTAACGTTTGACGAATATGCAGCCAGTGATCTCCGACGGTGCTCAGTGGGAGCTTACTTGGCCCGGATGCCAGCGTACTTTGAAACGCACTCAGCCGGCATCGCCAACTGGCTAGTGTCAATGAGCGCACAGCGATGTTGCGGACGTCCGTCGAAACGCAGCTGAAGGGCGACACGCACAAGAGCGAGATCGGAGTCCACGCGTGTGCTCTAAATCGAACGACAGTTTCGTTCGCAGCTTCTCCAGCGAGATCAACTGGCGTTCATGGCTCGTCCGATGCAGGTGGGTGCCAGGTCAATCTTCTGCGGGTACAGTGTTGAAAATTAGTGCTCGCGAGCAACTACTCACTGTTATCATTACGGGAGCCTATATCGTGTTAGTCACCCAAATAGAGCTCATCAGAGGACAATTTTCCAACTTGGGCGTTTAGATTACCAGCCAGCACCACATTATACGTGTTTCTTATGTAACGAAGGAGATCGTTAAGTTGGTGATAGAAATCATCTTTCACCGAATCAGGGCTGCCGTTTGTGGGAGGCGTAAGCCGTAATGGCAAACAGGCACCGTGTGTCACCGCGCGACTTCGAAGCCTGGAGCGACCCAACTAATCTAACGCGCACATTCGGCAGTTGACTGGGATGCAATCGATCGGGGCAGTTTCAGCAGGGGATTCAAAACAATGCCAACGCCAGCTTGACCTGCATTTGAAGCTGCGTCATCACTAGACAAACACAATGAGAATGTACTGCCAGTGTCGCATATGGGGGGTTGCATGATTAAGCATGGAGCTCGAATTTTGCAAGTAGATTTCCAATAAACAGCAAAGACCGATCGATAGTGTGCGGACAAGTGCTGATGTTGGGCAATGGGTAGTAAAGTGCGTACGTTGAGGTGCGCCAGTATTAGCGAGGATCGGGGGCTCCAAAGAGAAACGGATGAAATTGTCCGCTTGGTTGAACATGGACTTGTCGATTGGACTCGAGCGACGCCCTGTGATTGTGTGTATGTTGGAACTAGTAGACAAGGGATTCTTGAAGAAAAATGAGGGCCAAGAATTGGGGGAAAGTGAAGTTGGAACGGGACGCTAAGGATGAACAAACGCATGGGGGGAATAAGAAGACGGGAAGGTCTGAGCAGTAGCATCCAACCCCTATCCACTCTACTAGCTGTAGCAGATACAGCGCCGTTGACTATCCCCTGCAACGGCCAGCTCGTCAAGAAATTGCTTGAAGGTAAGGTCATTATTTTGCGTGAGCAGGATACTGTCAAGCTGCCCATGCCTAGACAGGAGAATTATTAGGGTTCTCAACCAAAGCCTTTGATTCGAAAACCTTACTGCAAGGCACCGTGGTTTGGGTACTTGGCTACAGGGAGTCCGTGTTATGTAGTTAGGAGCCATTCTTACTCCAACCCCCAACCTGGAGGGCCAGGAGACTGAGTTTGCCAGGCCTCTAACCACTGACCAATCTGGCTCTAAAGGTGTAAAAAAAGCACCACCCAGCATAGCTTAATGGATCAATGAGGCACACAAACCATCGCACCACGTTTACAGTCTCGTCGCGATGGGGAGACTTGTTATCCTCACCAAGATCGCGCCTGGCCGGCCTGATTAGCTGTTCAAAAACATGACCACTCCTATTGGACGAGCAAGAAGACAAGGGTTCGAGTGCCAGTTTAATGGGCGCCAGACACGAGACAATTAAAATGGCACAGGGTGTTGTTATTTGTGTTCTTGGTGACTCTCTTGAATGTTCCCTGCTCTGTTCTGTTATTTGCCACTTACAAACGATAAGATTAGACAGCCTAAGAAGACTCTTGCGATGGAACAATGCGATTATTTAACAAAATTTCTGGAGAGGATTGGATTTCGGTCCACTTAAGGTTCAGTGACCCATTTCTTAGGTGCTCTTTTCAACAATACGCTATCGAAAATGACAGAACCTCGAGATTAGTGATGCTTTTGCATACGTTTCCTCTTTCGTGACTCATAGATGCCACGTTTCACAAGACCGAACTACGTCATGTGTCCTGAACTCTTACCTGTATTAATATAATGGTCAGTTTAGCGATGTGACCGGGTTCACACTCTGCACTATGGTGTTGGGATTAGAAACGAATCTAATGAAATGAACGGACTTCTAGGACTGCACAAGTGAAACTCACCGGTGAATGAAGTTGTGCTGCTCCAAGTAAGCCATCGCTCTGGCCACTTGAGTAGCCATGTGCAAAAGGACCGGTGGAGTCAGCTCGTCCCGTGGCCGTTTGCGCAGATAGTCCAGCAGGTTTCCGTTGCACATGAACTCGGTCACAATGTAGTAAGGGGGTTCGCGTGTGCAGGCACCTGTGTACGATGGATGGCAAGTACATGGGGGTAGTAAGGTTGTGACGGAACAAGTATAAACGGGAACATGGTGTATGCCGAGCGCATAGACAGAAACCGGACTGCCATGCTATATGACAATGGGCAAAGGGTGCACAGTCAGCGGAGGAAAGGAACAAGTAGATAGTACAAGCGCCTCCGTATACATTACTCCCCTTTAAATTCGCATTGGAAAGCGGACTATAAGGATGAAAAATCTATGATTATGGTCAACTGACAGTTGGATATATATATATATATATATATATATATATATATATATATATATATACATATATATATATGGCACGGAGACTATGGCGCGCTGCGGCTGGCGTTGGCTAGATCCTAACAGATGGCCTACCCACTGCTACTACTGTTGTGCCATGGGCTCATGTCCTGGACGCCTCCTCCTGGCGACCGCTGGGTGGGAGTTGGTTTACGTCCTTCTCATTGCGAAGATTCAGGACACCAATCCGCATGAATCAGTGAACTGACCATGTGCTAGATCTGCTGCCTTTCGGGTGTACATGTAACCGAAGGCTTCGGCTAAGGACCCGAATCGTTCTCCCGTCAGGCGTGAGCGCCCTGCCAGTATCCTAGTCCAAACCCCTTCCTCTTCGGAGGTTAGAAAGTGGTCGATCACCTTCTTCCCATAAGACCTAGCTATAGGAGACAACAGGTACACGGGTTATAAGCTCACCGCTCGATTGGCGTAGAGCACGAGCGCCATGCATTGTCTCTGACAGTGGAAGGGCACCTCCGGGTGCTCAATGGTTTGCTACTGCCCGCCTCAACCCAGGCAATTCCTCATCGAATTGGTGCAAACCAGCCAAAACCCACCTGGGTCTGGGCGTGGTCGCAGGTGCACATGCGACTACCGTCGCGAAACATATATGGATAGTTTCACTACCTCAAAGGCTGCGTGTGCCGGCCGTCAAACAGATCCCAATCTGTCTCTGCAGTCACCTTCCCAAGCTGCACCTGCTCCACAATGACTTGTGGGTCAGGCTATTGAGACAAAGGCTCAGGGATGATTCCTTCAAGCAAACAACCAAACAATCTCTGCCCTGTGGGTCAGGCTATTGAGCCAAAGGCTGCGGGCAGAGTCCCTTAAGCAAACCTCCGAAGCACAACCCCCATCACGCGTGCGATTTCCCACCAATGCAATCGTATGCTTAAGCGCAAAGCACTCAACATCGGTTACTGGAACGTGCGCACACTACTGGACCGGAACTAGAGTGAGCACCCCGAGCGACGCACTGCATTTGTCGTGATGGAACTGGCGTGCTACAACATCGAGATTGCGGCGCTCAGTGAGACCCGGCTGGCTAAACAAGGTAAGTTGCATGAAGCTGGTGCCCACAATACGTTCTAGTGCGTGGGCAAGACCACCTCAGCACCACTTGAACGTCGGATTTGCAATATCCGATGGCCTAAATGATCACCAGGTGGGTGATCCGACTAGAATCAGCACGCGACTCATGACTGCTCGCCTACGAGAGGGAGGAAATAGGTTTTCCACTTTTATAAGCACGTACAGTCAGACCATGTGTTATCCTGATGACACACGTGATCAATTCTACACTCACCTATCATTCTTGCTACGGTGTGCCGAGAAGCGACCGACTATTTCTGCTGGGTGATCTCAACGCGCCCGTTGGGCGTGATGCATTAGTGTGGACAGATGTCATCGGTCCGCATGGAGTTGGTTCAGTGAATGCGAACGGTGACAGGCTGCTGCTCTCACTGTGTGCCACTCACGGATTGACGATCACGAACACTCGGTTTGCACTGAGTGTAAGTGATATGGCTAGTTGGACGCACTCACGGTGTGGTCACGATCACCTGCTCGACTATGTCATCGTACGTCAGCGTGATACGCGTGAAGTGCGCATGACACGAGTACTGCGTGCGGCTGAGTGTGAAACTGACCACAAAGTGGTGCGGACAGATATGTACATATATTTTCGTAAATCTATGTATTGCACTCAATCGGTGAATCGGCATAAATTTAACATTCTCTCCCTTGGCACTGTGGAAAAAGGTATTGAGCTAGAGAAGGCGAGAATTGCACGCCTGTGTGATGTGGAACGCATAGCCACAGTAGGCGACTTGTGGCACCACATTCGCGAACAGGTGACGCCTGCTGTCGAGGAGACAATAAGGCGCGCAAACTGTAAGCAGCCTGATTGGTTTGATGGGAAACGATGCGACGATTGGCGCATTGGTGTCTGAGGACAAAGCAGTATTTGCTGCACATGTGGCAGACCCTAGCGACTTGGGGAAGAAGTGTCAGTTTCGCAAACTTCGACGACGACTGATCCGAGAGCTCGGTTGCGTAAAAAATGCACGGCGGACAGAGAAGGAGATGGAATGTTACGCCGAACGCCGCCAACACGAGGAATTCTTTGACTCCTTGAAAGCGGTGTATGGACCAAAGTTGCAGCCACTGATGACGCTAATCAGTGGTAGTTCAGGGGCTAACTGCACACAGACTGCAAATATAATGCAGATCTGAAAAAAACACCTTGACTATCTTTTGAACAACCGTTCAGAGATCGATTGGCCTACTGTAAACGGCCAGAAGTAGCACGATGTGAAGGCGAGTCGGGCATACACGAGTAAATGTACGAGTAAATTTGGAACTTTAATTGAATGTCTGCACAATGGTATGCCGACGAGGATGCAAATGAGTGGACAGACCTCGGATGACTTTCCAGTAGTCATTGGTGTGCAAACTGGTAGCAGCAGTGCATCAACCCGACTATTGCGGTAGACTTGTGGTGGCGCTTCAACATGCGTGACTGGTCTCAGAAAGGAGTGTGCAATAGGTGCTTAGTCTTAACTCAGCTAGTGACAAAAGGGTTATTGGCAGCGCTCTTGTAGACTGTAAGTCATCTTCCAACGACCTACCTTAGCAAAATGGGCATCCCTTACAATCAGGTCTTGCAAATATGACATGTGACGTTTCGAGAAAGGAGTCTCGATAAGTTATGCTGCCTAAATTCTACTCGTTGCCACATAGTCTATCTCCCATCGCAGTATTGATCGCCGATGAAGGAAACAAGTGTGGTTAAGCTGCCCAATTTGTTTCAGGCTGGACCATGAGCGTTCATTACAACACACTCACTGATGAGGCAATGTCTATTAGCAGGGAGTTGAGAAGCTGCATTTCTAGGCAATATCCAATCCCCGCGGATGCTGAGAATCATGTATTGCCCAAAGCGCGAAGCTTATTGGCTCGGAAAAGTGAGTGACAAATCCTGGGACCACAGCACACGCATGTGCGTTTTTGTTACTCATATTGTGCACCACAAGCCCGTTATCAATGTGATAATTTTTCGGACACAATTTACTGCAAATTCCGAATATCAAATTCAAAAGGATCGATAAGCCACGCTTTCACGGCCTGTATTCTTACTGAAAAGCTGTTGAATCATCTTTCTTTCATCTTAGTGTGACCGGTATGTTATTGTTTGGAAGCATTCACCCCACACCAGAGCCTGTGCGCCGATGAACGGGATACAAATTCAAAATCACGTAGCCTATTCTCACATCATCATCGCATTCACATCCTCCTCGTATTCCTTAGGCATAATCATGGAAAACAAGTGTTACCATTGTTAACCAAGTTGCATAGAAGTGATCAGTCTAAGCGTTGCCAAATCAGCTTTGCTCGTGGGTTGTATTCTGGGCCGACGCACGCTTGGCACCATTTGCCGCGGCAACAATGTAGTCCAGAAATCAGTGACAACGGTGAATACATATATTAACATAAACAGCATAAAACGGTGTTTTGTCCGTCAATGATGAAGATGCTAAACGTGCCCGCTGGTGTTCTACTTGCACTAAGGAAATCGCCTGAGGTAATGGGTTATAAGCTTTTGTAAAGTTTCCGTGTGGATGGTGCGACATTGGTGGATAATACTGCCTTTCAGTTGTTCCAGTGAAATAGGCGTTTTCTTGTAAGATCTTTTTTCAAATAACCCCATAGGAAGAAATGTAACGGGTTCAAATCTGGTGACCGGGCAGGCCAATTCTTTGGACCTCTGCGACCGATCCATTGATGACCGAACACCTTTAGATAACGCCGCACCGTTTGTGCATAATGGGCAGGTGCGCCATATTGAATCTATAACGGCTGAAGCCGTGCCGAAGTAGCCAACGATAATCGGTGGTGAAAATATCTCTATCTTGTAGCTCCTACGCCATTTGCCATCAACAGTCCTCGTTCCATTAGAGACCCATGGTAGACAGAGGAATAGCAGTAATCATAATTGAGTTATTTGGCAAACATGAGGTTAACGTCATATGGGCTTGCAAGAAGCGCATACTGCAGCTTATAGAGCTCTAACGGTTTCGTTTACCGTCGTCAACTTTAAGTAACCATCAACAGCGAGGCCTGCACCCTATCGGGCAACTGAGCAATCAGGCGTTTCTCGCGTACTTATCTTGTCCTGATTTCGCGTAGCGTTCATTCGATTCCGGTGGAAAAATCGCCCCATTACCCATCGCAGCAATGTGCTAGTGAAATCAATCGTTATGCATTATCTATATATTTACATGAATTATGTTTCAAGATCACAAAAGCCAACGAAGTAGATGTTCAAAATGACCACGGTCGATTCGCTTGCAGAACAGTATTCGCCCGATGCAGTTTCAGCTCGTTCGGCCAGCAGCAGAAGAATGACACAGGTCCGCGAGACTTCTTTGTAGGAGGATGCTAACAAATGTGAACCGTCAGTTCTATTAATAAATCAATCTACTCGTCATAAAAGTCAACGAAGTAGGTGTTCAAAATGTCCGCCGTCGTTTTGCTTGCACAGCAGTACTCGCCGGATGCTATTGACAAAGTGTCCAATGATATACCGCGACATTCGTTGACGATGTTCCGTTTCAGTTCCTCCAGACAAGTTGGCCTGGTTTTATACACTCGGCATTTCAAGTACCCCCATAGGAAGAAATCCAGTGGGTTCAAA